ACTTATTTAATTAGAAAAATAAGCTAGGAGAAATTCCTAAAGGAAGTTTATTGATATATCTGAATATTGCAATTCAATTCTTTTTTTTTTTTTTTGGTACTGGGGACTGAATCAAGGACTTGAGGGCTTTTATACTGAGTTATAGCCACACTCTTTTTTAAAAAAAAATTTTTTTTTTTGGATACAGGGTCTTGATAAGTTGCTGAGACTGGGCTCAAACCTGAAATCCATCTGTCTCAGCCTTCCAGAGAGCTGGGATTACACGCGTGCCCACACTTGGCTTCAGTTTTTACTTATGGTTATTTTAGAACTAAAAAAGCTTCTGGGTTTTGAGGGTCTGGCTCAGTTGTACAGCACTTGTCTACCATACTCAAGGCCCTGGATTTAATCACCAGTGCAGTAAAACCAAAACCAAACAAAACAAGAAAAGAATCATACCAGCATTTGGAACTCTCAGGGATACCCAAGTCTTCCATTGCTATGAATGAATGAATGAAGGCTTTAAAGTAAATACAACATATTGCTATGGTTTGAATCACGAACGGTACTCAAAGGCCCGCATGCATGTTAAAGGCCTAGTCCCCAGTCTGTGGTGCAAATAGGAGGTGGTAGAACTTTAGGAGGTGGGGCCTGGTGGAAAGAAGTCGAGTACGTGGAGGTTACCCTAAAAGGAAATCAGGACACCTGTCCCATCTTTCTTTGGCTCCTGGTCACGATAAGGTGAACAGGCCTTCTTCACCATGTGCTCCTACCACAATGTACTGCACTGTCACAGGCCCAAAGCATCAGGCCAAGTGACCACCAAGTGAAACCTTTGAAACTGTGAGGCAAAATAAAGCTTTCCCTTATTAAGTCGACCATTTCAGGTATTTTGTCACACTAACACAGTCCCAAAAGTACAGGTGCATTTACTAAGATGCTGAGCACATTTTCTGTCTAATATCTCATTAGGAAGACTTACTACAGCTCAAGGTCAACAGCTGTTTACTTTTCCTTATCCCTTTTCAAATTTCACTAGATTTTGTCTCTTTGAACCCTGCCCAATGGCAAGATTTTTAAATCTTACAACAAAAACTTTCAGGCAGCTGAATCAGATAGTACCACTTAATGAGGCAAGGCTTGCCAGAGTCCTAAAAACTAATAATTAGGGTCACAACTGAATATAAATTGTCACGTTATATCTTGAACCGTACGAAAATCCCAGTTTGAAAGAATAATAGCTTAAGAGGCAAACTCATGGGACTGTCTGTTACACAATATTGGAAAGAAAAGCAACTCATTATTTTAAAAACAAACGTTCTTCATTAGATTTTTATGAATCTTCATAACTACTTTCAATAGCAGAACTTGTAACCAGGTTTTCTAAACTTTGGCACTTTTGACATTTGGACTGGTAAACTTTTGTTGTGGTGGGCTGCCGTGTGCATTGTAGGATGGTTAGTAACATTTTTGACATCTAATTAAATGCCGTGCACACCTCCCTCCCTCTGATCAAAATACTGCCAAATGTGAGAGACAGAGGTTTGAGTAGAGGTGCATGAGAACTACCACTGTAAAAAAACAAAGATAATTCTATCCTACATTCTTGGAAGCACAAAATATACTGGTCCAAGACTCTATGGGTGCCTTTACAGAAAGACACAACAAACAGTTAAACTCAAGAAGGAAAAAGTGGAACTACATACCCACAATAATAGACCAATTCTAAGTGCAAAAATATAGAAAATAAGGCAGATACACATAAATGTTCATTATAAGAACTTCAAGTGTACAAATTATTTTACTGGGCTAAAACTCTGCTTAATACACTGTTATACAAAGTAGGTCAAATGGGCTGGGGATTTAGCTCAGCGGCAAAAGTGCCTGCCTGGCAAGCGCAAGGTCGTGAGTTCGGTTCCCGGTACTGGAGAAAAACCACACAAAAAAACAAAAAAACAAAAAAAACAAAGTAGGTCAATGGCTTGAATATGACATTACACCAAACACTCCAGTTTGGAAGGGCACACTGGCACACCCTATAGTTTCAGCTATTTGGGAGGCTGAGGCAGAACGATCAGTTGAGCTGAGGAGTTCAGGGCTAGCCTGGGCAACACAGACTCTGCCTCTAAAATAAGTAAATAAATAAAGATTGCTTTTTAAAACACAATAGCAAAGGAAGGACTAGATTAAATTATATCATACATACCTCCAAATTTAGCATTCACCATAACATACAAATGCTCTCGTGGATAGGCATTTAGGTCCCTGGACACAGCATGTAAACTAATGGTGGGGTATTCCAGTGAGAATCCTAATCCGGAACCATCTAACCAAGACAGGCGGCTGAAAAACATGTTTTAAGTAATTATTTTTAGAAATTAATCCTATTTTAATACCCCAAACTTTATAATGGTCCATGCTGGATGCTTTCATGCATGTGATAAATTAAAGCTTATGGTTTAGAAGTTTTCCTAAAACCAAATTTAGCAGCAGAAACCAAATTTGTTTATTTGATTATGATTTTTTCCTCTAGCTATAAATTCAAATCTGAAATCAAATTCTTCTAAGTTACCGGTGTATTTCTGTGGCTCTTATATACTCACCCCCTCTCCCACATACTAAGGATTGAACCCAGGGCTTTGTGCCAAGTGCTCTGCCACGGAACTATATACCCAGCCCTATGCTTATTCTTAGTTGGACCATCTAGAGGTTCAGGCCTCCTTTCAACTATTTTAGTCCCTAATTATCTCTTATTTCTAAACTGCACTTAAACTCGGTAAGTTAAGTTAGCACTTAACTTTATGTTAATGCTTGACAGCTGTATGTGACATCGTTTTATTTAACATTCTTCAAAAACATTAGCATAGTGATCAGCATGTAAGCACACAATAAATATCTGGTTATTACGAACTTTTCCACTAATCTTACAGTAAATGATATAGCCACAAAATGGCTGTACTGTTAATTACAATCACAAGTCAGAAAAGAATTACAGTATTCCCTTGAAAGACAAACTCTATGAAGATTTTCATTTACTCCTAGCTTTAAGCAAAAGCCACAGGTAAGCTAGATTTAGTTTTTCCTCAAAAGTGGTCAAACACAAATATTTTATTAGTATAACAAAGTAAACTACCACTAAAATTAGTGTGACTTTTGAATAGACTGCCTAATTTTTTGGTAATACTTCAAAAAACAGGAACGGCACTGTTTAGCCAGAAAAAAAAAAAAAAAAGGCAAAAAGATCCTGAAGAAACCACAAAAAACATTAATGTACCAAAGGTTAATGCAGTCCAGCAAGGTGGCACACATCTGCAATCCTGGCACTTCAGAGGCTGAGGCAGGAAGACTGCTGTGAGTTGGAGGCTAGCCTGGGCTACAGGGTGAGTCCAAGGCCAGTCTGGACTATTTGGCAAAACCTTGCCTCAAAAAAAAAAAAAAAAAAAAAGTTAATGAAAGTATAGTGGTTTTCTAGGGCTGGAAAGAAATATGGAATGATTGCTAATGGGCCCTGGTACCCTTTCGCGGCAATAAAACTATTCCAAAATGGACTGTGGTAATGATGGTAAAGCTCTGTAAATGGAATAAAAACCATTGTGTTGTACTTTTTAAATGGGTAAACTATGCTATGTGAGTTACTTCAATAAAGCTGTTATTTAAAAAAGAAGGATCTGGGGCTGGGGATTTAGCTCAGCGGCAAAGCGCCTGCCTGGCAAGCGCAAGGTCGTGAGTTCGGTTCCCGGTACAGGAGAAAAACCAAAAAAAACCCCAACAAATTAAAAAAAATAAAAAATAAAAAAGAAGGATCTGCTCAGTGGTAGAACACACTTAGTGCACATGAGGCCTGAGTTCAATTTCCAGCACCAAAAAATAAAATAAATAAAAAAGTTAGTAACACTTCTGTATTATTCTATTTTCTTTTTTTATTTTTTTTTTATTTTTTGGTTTTTTATTTTCCACAAGACTTTAACAAACCTGCTGTCTATTTTCTGTTTTTTTGTTTTGTTTTTTGTTTGTTTTTTTTTCCGGTACCGGGAACCAAACTCACGACCTTGCGCTTGCCAGGCAGGCGCTGTGCCGCTGAGCTAAATCCCCAGCCCCCTGCTGTCTATTTTCTAACCAAGAAAAAACGAAAGTATAATAAAAGAACCTGGGACTCTTTTGGCAAGGAACACAGAGGAGCAGTTTACAATCATTCCACATTCAGTGCATGGGGGTTGAACTTCATACCTCAGCCTCCCCTTGGAAATCAGGGTCCCTAATAAATCAATGTCCATGGTACAGTTCATGACCGGTTATCAAAAACATTTTATCAGAAGCCAAAGCAGAATTCAATCGTTAAATCATGGTGGTAACTGTACAACTCCATAAACATACTAAAACTTACTTAATCAATACTTTAAAAAATTTAAAAGCAAGAAAATACTGTCATTTGGAAAGATTTCCATCCAAAGGTTTATTTTAAAAAGACAATTGAAAATCAAAAGGTAAAGGGCTTTAAAACAAAAAATCCTAAAATGTATGAAGTGATAAAATGTCTAGAAATCATTTTCTAGACTGACTCCTCCCTACTGGTTCCAAAGAAACAGATTATGTAATTAAATTGTGTGCTGCGCTTGGCTTTCCAATCTGCTACTTGCCTTTTAATGTGGAGATGAAACACTGTTCACAGATCCCAAAATCATCCCACTAAAATAATCTCACTTTAAAGCAACTAGCTCCCTTTTAGTCTCCTCAAAAATCTCTTGGCATCATCAGAATATTTAAATTGTGGAATATTCCAGACTTCTATGTCCAAAATAATTTCAAATATCTAGAGCCACAAAATTTTTATGCCTCAGTTGGGAGGTGAAAAAAGAACACAGAACCAGTGCCTACCAAATTATGGCCTTTAGTTTAAAGGCCCATAATAACTGCTCTGAACGTCTTTACTGCAGACAGAATGCTGCCTCAGCATGGCATTCCTATGGTGCACTCACAATCCTACCGCTAGACATGGATTCCATAAATGCAATACTTACTTGATCATTAAGGTCTGCTTTCTTTAGCTTCTTTTCATATATTCTAAAAGAAAAGCCCTTAAAAACCAATATATGTGTATTTATACCCACTTCCAAAAAAAATACATCAAAAAAGGAAAAAACAAGAAGTAGAAAGCCAGTAAAGGTGGAGAGCAATGTTTTGCTAAACTTTAGCGGTTTCTTTATTCCTAGCATAGGGTAAAAAAGAGGACAATAAAATAAGAGAAGCCTTGAATGTGGGTTGGCTTATTTCATTTAAAATTAATCCTGGAATGAGATACCAAAAGGCCTTGTTTCTAAGTTTAAATTCTCTTTCTCTTTTTTTTTTTTTTTGGTGGTGGTGGTGGTGGTACTGATGATTGAACCCAGGGTCTCCTGTGTGCTAGGCAAATGCTCTATTAATGAGCTGAAACCCAGGTCTTTTTATTTTGAAACAGGATATTACTAAGTTGCCCAGACTGGCTTTGAACTTTTGATCCTCTTGCCTTAGCCTCCCACAACAGTCAGAAAAATGCACCATTATGCCAAGTTTAAATTATCTATTTTAAATTACCTTCTTGAGTAAAGTCAACTTCCTAAAAAACTAAGCACTGAGCAGGGCGTGGTGGGAGCCTGCAATCCCAGCATTTGGGAGGCTGAGGTAGGAGGACCATTGCACGTTTGAGACCAGCCTGGGCTACAAACTGAGCTCAAGGATAGCCTAATTGCATAGCAAGACCCTGTCTCAAAAAAGACACACACACAAAACCCTTCAAAAAACAACAACAAAAAAGCTCTGAATATAAACCTGAGAGTTCTACATCTCTAAATACAGATCCGAGAAGCTATGTACTTAAAACCAAATCTGACACTACTCCTCTTTGGCTGAAATCTTTAGCTTCTCCAAAGTTTTAAGTGTTACTATAGCCAAGCTCATTAAGCTCTTTCCTGCTCCACCTTTATTGCCTCTTTTCACTATTTCCCCTCACTGCCTCAGGCAAAAAACTGTTACACTAAGTATGTATGTACATGTACACGGTATGTGTCTATGTAAAATACACGTACGTATATTGGCACAGACTACTGGTTTTCATCCTTGCATCTGAGTGCCCTGTTCTGAACACTTCCCCCCAGTCCAATCCCATGAACCTGGCTGTTAATCATGTCATAATCTTCAGGAAGTCTTCCTAGTTTATTAAAATGCATGTTGGGTCGGGTGGCACACCCATCATTCTAGCACTTGAGAGGCTAAGGCAGGCGGATCACCATGAGTTCAAGGCCAGCCTGTATATACTATATAGGCCAGCCTATATAGTAAGCTCAAGTCTGAACTATATAGGGAGACCCATCTCAAAAAACCAAAACAAAACAACAAAAACTCATCATGATTGGAAATACTAGGTAGGAAAGAACAAAAAGGGAGAAGAGACCAATGAGGTGGGGCTAATAGTGAATAAAGAGGGACGACCAGAGATGTCAGGTACTGGTAAAATTATATTCTTAATCTGGAGGTTGGATATAGTTGGTTTAACTGTAATTCTTTAAACCACACATAAATAATGTGTATAATTTTTGCACATACATTTTACAAAAACTTTCCTCTTTTTGAGACAAGGCCCTGCTATGTAATTCAGGCTGGCCTTGAACTCACTGCATAACCAGGCTGGCCTACCACAGGAACTTGAAGCAACCCTACCTCAGCCTCCCAAGTGCTGGGATTACAGGCATGTACCACTATGCCCAACCCCAAAATTTTTTCTTAAAGAAACACATTGTTTCTTTAAGACATTTGTTAGGTTGTTGTGAGGGCTGCACTTGTCAACTTTTGGGGGGGGGGGTTCCTCAGTACTGGGAACCAAACTCATGACCTTGCGCTTGCCAGGCAGGCGCTGTGCCACTGAGCTAAATTCCCAGACCCTTGTACTTGTCAACTTGACTGGTTTGAAAGCTACCCAAGGGATTACTAAAGCACCCTATGGGTGTGTCTGGATGGAGACATAACCTTGAGGATTGTATCTGGTTGCTGGGTTCTGCCTCTCTGGCACTTTTCCCCTGAGCTTTGTTTCCCGGTCACCATGAGTGAGAAGCTTTGCTCCACCGTGTGCTTCTGCCACAGTGCTTCTGTCTTGAAGGCAGCCAACCACGGACTGAAACTTTTGAAACCACCAACCAAATAAACCATTTCCATCTTAAGTTGAGGATGCCAGAAAACTAACACAACTGCGCAAGGGCAAGGAATTATATCTGTGTGTCACCTGCACTACTATTCGCCCAAGATCTCTGAAGATCGTCTTATCAGTATTCAATGGATGGTTTTCAGATTTCAACTGCTCCTTCCTCTTCTTGAATCTCTTCTTTCACTACCCACCTCTTAAATCAGGTTATCTCCAAGGTTGTGTCCCTGGTCCTTTTGTATTGGGTTATCTAATCCACTCCCATGAGTATGTTAATACTCTAATGATTTCCAAATCTCTATCTTTAATGCTACCCCCCCCCCGAGATAAACACTCCTATGTGCAACCATTCCACACACTTCCAGAACAAATTCATTCATTACCTTTCCCTCCACCCTAAACTTGCTTTTGCTCCCATCAATATTTCCTATGTCAGTGACTAGCTAGGTGCCTAAGCTTTGCCCAGTGTCTAATCTTCCCTACACACCAAGGGGTCTTAACAATTTTTATGTTCTGGGCTCCGCAGTAGTTAGAATTTTGGCTCTGAACTATTAACTTCTTTGTGTCGTGCCTGTAAGTTATGTTGAAGATGGCAGAAGTCGGCTCTGTAAATTTAATAAGGTTACTACTTAGCTGACATTAAAATAGAGACCTTCTGGATTATCTGAGTGAACCCAACGTCATCACACGAGCTCTTAAAAGCTTGGGCTCGAACGCAGTAAATGAAGAAAATAGGCACTCTGAAGGACAAGGATAAATGTGTGATTGTTAGCCTGGAAGATGAAGAGAACTACGTGAAACGTAGGAATCTCTGTTCTCCAACGGCAGGATTACGGCATGCCTAACCGGCCGCGACAGTACCCAGTGCTCCACGCAGCCAACCAGGCAGGACCCCCCAACGCGGGTCAGGTCCCTGCGGACATGCTGCCTGTCTGCGTGGGGGCGCGAGTGCTCATTTCCGCACGTACACCTAAAGAAAAGCTACACTCCTAATCCAAACCTCGATCTCCTTCCACGATCTGCTCTAAATCTACATACCCCGCGCAGGCCAACACCTTCCTTCCAAATACACGATGAAGACTCACTCGGGATCTGAAACTCAAAATCTTAAAAGACGCTGGGGATGGAGCCCAGTGGCACAGCCCTTGCCCGGACCGCGCGAGGGTCTGGGTTCCATCCCCAGTACGCCAAACAAAACGAAGCGAAACTCTTGAAAACGTGACATCGATTGAAAGCAAAGCACGCGCCAGGCCTTCGTTAGACAGGCCAGTGGAAAGCTGAACCCGCGAGGGGAAACTGCGTCTGGAAAGGAGAAATAAAGGCTCCGAAGGAGGTGGCGCTGGAACACAGTCCTGCCCCCAGCAGAGGGGTCCTCGGAGCCACGCACAGCAGGCGCTCCCCCTGCCCAGCAGCCGCGAGTTCGTGTCTCGCCAGCTCTGCAGGACCGCGGGCACCGGCGAGGGAGGCGGGGCGCAGGCGGCCGGCGCCGCGGGGCAGGGACTCTACCTCTCGGAGATGTAAAGGGTGCCAGTCCCGAGGTCCTTCCCGTTCAGCACAGCCTCGGTATCTGGCTGCTGGTGCCGGAGCCCCTCGGCCGAACCCGGCGGCGGAAAACTTTTGAGGAAGCTCATTGCAGCTGGGAACCTCGAAACACAGGCTCGGAAGGAGCCGGGCCACACCAATCGCCGTTCGCTGCGGCCCGCCCCGGAAGCCGCGGCAAGCGCCCCGGAAGAACACCTTACTCTACGCAGGGAGTTGAACGCCGTCAACCATAGAGACGAGACACTCTAGGAAACCCGCTCGGAGGTTCCGGACGACCTAGCGACTTCGTCACGTGACAGTTCAGCTTCGCCCTCTTTCTGAGGCGAAAGGCAAGGCTAACGGAGGTTCGCGGGGTTGCCCCGGGCAAGGCTAACGGAGGTTCGCGGGGTTGCCCCAGGCGTCACAGCAAACCTGTGAAGGGGGAAGCACAAGAAATATTAGTGTCCCTTTTTCTACGAAAGCGGAAAAGGGCCTCAGACAACGAGTCCCTCGCCTGAGGATGCACCAGACGTAGAGGACCAGATTCATCTAGAGGTCAGAAGTCTCGCCTAGGTTCACGCTTCTCACCTGTTCCCGCCTCACGCGGCCAGTGCACAGGTCAGGTTCGCAAGCCACGCACCAGACAAGAGTCTAGGTCCTGACATCGGCCTAGGGCCCCAGCCACTTCTCCCCACCTGCCAGGCGGGCAGGAGCACAACGAGGTAACTAACGCGGGGCGGAGCGGGCAGGACAGTAAGGAAGGAGACAGGGCTCAAAGATTTGCAAAATAGTCGTGGTAGTAGCAGAAGTTAACCGAGTGTTATGTGCCACACACTGCGACACTCTTTACCAGGTTTTTGTTTTGTTTTGTTTTCTTTGCAGGGTCTCAATATGTAGTTCAGGCTCGCTTTCTTGCGATCCACCCGCCTCAGCCTCCCAAGTGCTGGGATTAGTGGCGTGCACCAACATGCCCCGCTTCTTCTCTATGACAAATAGTATATTCAAAAGTTTTCTGTTGCTACTATACACATGAGACGTGAGGCATTACAGCCAGTTTGGTCGTGAGAGATCTAGTAGAATTCAAGTTCCACTTGTTTGTAAGGTTATTTACAAGCGGTAGGTAGGACTGTTTGAGGCTGGATGGTGAGACATGTAAGGTAGTTTTATTTGTATTTTCTCAACAGTTTAGGGGAACATTAGATTTTTAGTTAACTTGGTTTACTTAATTTTATTTGTTTATTTATTTGGTATCAGGAGTCGAACTCAAGACCTTGCGTTTGCCAGGCAGGTGCTTGTGCTACTGAGCTATATCCCGGGCCCTAGCATTAGATTTTTAAACTGAATTAGTTTATTGATAGTGAGACTGTGGGAGGTTAAGAAGTTGTCCTAGGTCGGTGAGAAAGTGGCAGCTGAGAACAGAAAGATGGGGGAAAGATTCTAGAGCTATCTAAAACCCTTATAGTTTAGAGATAGGTTAAGAGGAATACGGTTTTGGAGATCAGGATAGGTGAAAAAGAGGTTAAGGATTCTTTCTGAAATTCCAGTTTAAGGGGCTGGGGATTTAGCTCAGCGGCACAGCGCCTGCCTGGCAAGCGCAAGGTCGTGAGTTCGGTTCCCGGTACCAGAAAAAAAACAAAATAAACAAATAAATGAAATTCCAGTTTAAGAGATTAAGTGGCTATCGCTCATTTCTCCAAGGTGGAGAACTCAGGAGGAAGGGGTTTTCAAAGTAGTTCACAAACCTAATTTAAGAAATGACCAGTTGGAGGCTTCCCATAAGACATTTATTTATGCGTGGCTTGCTGTGGCTAGTTTTACTCAGAAATGGAATCCCTCAATTACAGGGGAAAAACTGGCTAAAACCTGTCTAATAATTTCATATCAATCTGACTGAAGTTTTCAGTCATTGAAAAGTTTTCAAGTTTTTAGGATACTTTTTAAAAAGTGCCCAGTGGCTGTTAAATGCCCACTTTACAGATAAAATTGAAGATCAGAGAAATAAAATGGTTTGCTAAAGGCTACAAGTCAACAGCTAGAAATTAGATTCCTGCCTTTTTCTTCCAAGTCCAGCATTATCAGCCCGAGCTAGTTGGCAAAGTCCTGCCTTTTGGTAATGGTAAAAATTGTTTCCAATAAATCTATTCTTATCAGATTAGAGTGATTAGAATTAGTATTAGCACACATTCTAATAAGGTTCTATCATCATTAATCAAGTTCTTTCCCATTTGGACTCCAAATATAGAGCCAACATAGAGTAAAAGCTATTTAGTTGTTGAGGTCACAGTGCAATTACATCTCCCTAACAAGTAACAACACCAAAAAGCAGACAGACACTGAACAAAAAAACGTGAAACAATTGCAGGGAGAAGGGGAGGAGTAACTCCACTACTGCAAGTTTCTGGTTTCTTTAACAGTTATCCCTAATGATGGGGTTCAATTATTATGTTTCCAAGAAGCCTGCTGATTTCCTGGAGTGTCCCCTAGGGTTTGTGATATTTGAGTGAGAATTTTCAAATACAATTTAACATTTCTGTAGTCTGTTTAAATACTGGTAGTTAAGCAAGGAATCATTGGGAGACTGAACCAATGACAGTGCCAAACTTTTTATTTCATTGATGGGGAGAACTCTGTATTGGAAAAAGTGAATATAGAACAGATCAGAGACACGGACAATTGAAATGTGAAAGACCCAAAGGAGGCAATAGGAAAGCTACCAGATCAAGGGTACAGTCGGCCAGGTTGCTGTAAAAAGAGCAGATACCTTCTTGGAGACAGGCTAGGGAGAGGGATGGATGCTTGATACATGGATACAATGGCATGGAAATGGGCCAGAGTAATTGTATGAGAGTTACCAGCAACCTGTACCATGAACCAGTAGGTTCCTAACTTTTCACGGGGGTATGACTTTATGTGCTAAACTAATGTTACATATACATCACACCTAAGGGTGTTTCTCATGCCGAGTGTGGTGGCACACACCTGTAATCCCAGCACTTTGGGATGCTGAGCCAGGAAGATCACAAGTTTTAAGTCCAGCATGGGCAATTTAGAGACTTAAGAGACCCTGTCTCAAAATTAAGAATGGCCTGCAGATGTAGTTCACTGCAGAAACCCTGGTTCAATCCTACATTACAAGGGACAAAAAGTGTTCTCTTTGACTTTCATTTAGACTCTTTATGATCTTAACAAGCAGAATCGCTTGAGAATTAAAATTACACAAGCATTTGTCTCATCTAGAGGGTCCCAGCATTTAATTTCATTAGAATATTTTTATTATTTCTAGTTCCAGCTCTGCTAAATGATCACCATGTAGTTACACCAATTCTGTTTTTGAAAGAACTTGGTTCATCCTCTGGTCTCACTCTATGATACACAGGTTCACAACCATGTTCCAGGACCCACTGTCAACTCCAGAAATAGCTTTGAACTCTCTCTGGAGGCTGCTACGGTCCTCTTACCTTTGGCTTTCAGCACAACATGGTACCTCCATTTCACTGCTTCTTTTTAAGTGAAACTTTGAAATAAATTGAGAATCATTATAATTGGCCATTTTCCTGGTGGTGTAGACCAGCTTTTAGTCTATTAAATGAAATTTTTTTTTTTTTGGTTTTTTCTCCGGTACCGGGAACCGAACTCACGACCTTGCGCTTGCCAGGCAGGCGCTTTTGCCGCTGAGCTAAATCCCCAGCCCCTATTAAATGAAATTTTGATTGAAAGCTCTTAAAAAGTATTTTCAATCAGAATTGCAAATAGTGGTGAATTTTGCTAGTTGATAAACAATTGAGTCCAGTTTGAAAATTACTGTATTCCAAGAGTAAGGGAAAATGGTCAAGTTAGAATTTGTTGATGAGAATCATGTTCAGTGTTGGAAGGCCTATTACTCATCTGGTCTCATCCTTTTGAATGTGTTGATGTTATACACCTGCTGAATGGTATGCAGGTCAGGCTATATCCAAACATTCTCTACTTGGAAGAATTTAGAACCAAAGTTGCTTATTACAAGTTGTTTTTTAAGTAAGAGAATGTTATTTTTTCCCCTAGAAAGAACTGAACACTTTTACTCTATAGCTGCTGCCCTCTAGTCTAGTCTGTGCTCCCATAGGACCATGAAGAACAAGGCCATGGCCCTCTTAAATGTCAACTCTCCAGCATCTAATGATAGAAACCAAGAATAGTTTTCCTTTGTTTGTCTGCCTAGTGGGCAAAGAGTCTTAAACATTATTTTGGAGAAATTGATGCACTTCACTTTCTAGATAGTGAAAGAAGAATCTATACCTGAGTGGCATAAATATATTTTAACCTTTGTGAACCAGTTATAGAAAATTCTTAGCTTTCTACATGACACAAAAATTAAAATAAACTAAGCTTGCAAACACATGCTAAGTACATCAAATTATTTAAATTTTTTATTATGACAATTGACATATATTAAGTGAAAGAAATGACAGTATTATAATAAAACATTTTGAAAGAAAAAGTTACACAATTAGGCCAATAGCTATAAAATGGCCTTAGGCCTGGCATATAACACTAAAAATTCTGATCAGACTGTAGTGAGACATTGAACATTTCATTAACAAAAATATTGGCACCAGCCACAACATATTTTGGTTGTCACAAGTAATATTATCTTTAAACAACTATGCACTGCAATTCTAACACACTAGGTGTACTGCAATTTTAACACACTAGGTGTTCATACACTGCAATTTACTCCTGAAGCTTTAAGCAATCAGGAATTTCCATACTTTTTATGCACAAAATTTATGTTATCAGAATCATGTTTCCAGTTTTCAGTTATTTTCCCCCCTCACATGCAGTACATTATTATGTGACAGAGAGCACTCCAGCTTCTATTTGACTAACAGCATGGTCCTGATTACTTCCAAGTTAGTTTGATGCTACTCTTGGAGTTGCACTTTAGTTCTCAGCTAGAAACAAAATTCTGAGACCCTATTCCAGGAATAAGTTTTCTTATGCATAGGAAAATAAAGCATTTTGTTAAGCATGTCTAAAACTCCAAGAGGTGTTCTAATCAAATCCTTCATGGATCCCATTTATTACTTTCAAATCAAAGTGAAATTCTAAAATAGACAATTTACAAATTCTCATCTGGAATTTGTATTCTTCAAGTGGAAATTTATGGTCCTCAGGCTTCTGTATGGGTGAAGATAGCAAAGAAATTGACTTCCCATACTAGCAGACAGTAGATGAAGATAGCTTAGAAATTATGACACTTAGATGATTTTCTTTACAAGAACACACTTGTACTACAAAGAAATAAGAACGAGGAAATTATCAGATGGAAAAAATTACTGACATTTTAAAAAGGTGTAACATGGTAAAATGTGCCATGTGATAAAGGCTGCTAAAATCAGCAATTTCACGAGATTTCAAAAATACCTATCAAATAAGGAATTGGAATTTGAAACTGACTTCCCTTCTTGACATGTTTCATCAAATATTCATTCCTGTGGAATTAAATCTACTGAATAACCGAGTGAGCAGTTCTAGCTTTTCCTTCTTTTACACACAGAAAAGAAACCAGGCCCTGACCCACCCCTAACCCATCTTAGCACAGGATACCTTTCAAAGTGTACAGAAAATCTCCTGGCAGTTTTGGGTAAGCTACTATTCAAGAACTGTGATCAAGAAGCTACTCTGATAAGAGAACACCAGACCAACATTAAGAATACCCTAGTTAGGCATCACAAAAATCATGCACTGAAAGAATATGCTGTTAACTGTCAAATTTGGGCTACTATAGCTGTTCTGATCCTGAAAATCCACTTACACTAATACAAACTCAGTCTGTGTGTATAGGTATGTGTCTACATGAGTGTGTGGGTATAATTTTCATGCAATGATTTTAAAGCTTTGGAGACAGGTTTTAGTCTAATTTCAAGGCCTGTCCATATAACAATATTGTCATGCACCAAAACTCTACTAAAGTTCAGTAGAATGAAAAACCATGGCACAGATTGATAAACAATTTTAGGTTTAATTACATAATGCACCTGTAGATGTTCTAGCATAAACACAATTGTAAAAATCTACATCCTATTTTAGGGTATAGTCCCACCTCCCATCCCTTAAAAGCTGTACAGTTATAAAAAAATGTGACTCAAGCAAAATAAACTTTTTTTCTTTTCTTTTCTTTTTTTCAACATACAAAATAAGTTAAACTATTAAGAAGGTTTTGAGCCATTAAGTTCCCCAATGACCGTGTTCTGGCTGTCAGTAAGCACGTCATGCAGGCTCCTGGTCTATGACCAGAACTCAATAAATACAGATCAAACAAAACCTCAAAACACTTAAATTAGATCTTCAGAAACTGATGAAAGTCAAGAAAATATATAATTGGAGTTAACAATTCCACTCTTAACTTTACATAATCCAGTGGCAAAAAGAATAAAGCAGATTATTCAGTCCTAGGCATATTTTCTTGTCTGTTTTGGCAAAAAAATCACAAGTGTAATTCCTGTGAAAACGTTTTCTTCTCATAGTGTCTAAAGATTTTAATGAATTTCTCCCCATGTAATGATTTGTCATGCCCTCTCATGTGACTTATATATAAGATAGATACCTTAGAGTCATTAAGATAAAAATAACATCTTCATTAATTGAAACCTCTACAGTGTGCCACAATTGGATTTACAGCTTTTCCCAGAGCAAATTGGTATAAATATGAAATTTTTAAAATATTGACCTCACATTGCTAATACGAGAGGGGAAAAAATCCACTAAGGTGACCATGACATTATTCTAATAAACTTCTGAAAAGGTCTACATGAATAAAAAAGTTTAGTGTACAATCTGAAGTGGTTGTAAGACAAACTATTTTAGAATGTATGTTTACTTGGGAATGATTCTTCAGTGTTACAATTACTGAGCAATTCTTGGCACTCAAAAAACATTAAATTATTGGAGTGAAATATTATGAAAATGTATGTGCCATAAGCAAACAAATAACACAACCCAGTTTAAACATATTGACAGCAAAAGGCCTTGTCTTTCAGAATTAGTAGGAAAATAATGAAGAAAAAAAAAATCAGTTCACTTGCTTCTTCCAAGTAGGTTTACAGATACACACTGGAAATGGTGGATAAAACAGGAATGGACTGTATCCTATGAGTTTAATAATTAATCATATTAAACAGAATGAGGACCAGATAGGTTACAGCAGTTATGTAGTTTTGGCATTCTCTGCATCTTGGAGAACCAGGAATATATTTTGAGAATGTCAAACCAACAAGAAAAACTATTTTACTCTAGATTTTCTGTAATTAAATGATATTCATAATTTCTTATCAGTTGCAATTATTTGCCTTATTTCTTTTTATAAGAAATTACTGAAGGATTATTTCTAATTTCTAATATATATACACATATATATGTATACACACACACACACACACACACACACATATTCCATTTGCAAAAAGATTTGGGTTTTGGAATATTTGTCCAAAAGCTGTGAGGCAACATCATGAATTAAAGACCTATTCCACTGTGTTGGTAAAGAATGGAGTTCACAACTTTTTCTGAGTATTAAAGTTGTACATTCATTAGGTTCTTTAAAGTTGTATGGAGAACAAACTAAGTGAATGGTTAATATCTCTGATGCCCATCAACAGGAAGATAAATACGAATTCCTTTTTATAAATGAAATTCCCACTTAAAAAATAACTTACATTTTATTTTAAACCTTGATTTAAACAAGTAATGTCCACATTTTTCTTAATATATGCACTTTGCTTAAGTATAGGATGGATTGTAGCAACCAAAGTGAAACTTGGATAGTAATATTCTTTACTTTTTTAATTTTTAAAGTAATATTCTTTGAAATTAATTTGTTAAAAAAAGTCTTTTATTTCCAACAACTTCATTAGCATTCAAAATCTTTGGTTCTTCGGCAGATTTCTTTTTTAAAAAAGATTACCAGTAGACATGAGTTTATTCTAAATGAAACTCTTTATTTATTGAATCTTTAACTTTGACCAATTAGAAAAGGATGCCAAAGAAAACCAACCTCAGTATTCTTGAAAATGTCTGGTGTTACTTTGCAGAGTAATGTAGTAACAACGAAAAATGTTTTACACTAAACACTATCATCAACACAAATGTACAGAACCAGTCTGAGTCCTTCTCATGTAATATTTCAATTCAAAGCTTTTTGAATCGTGAAAGTTTGGCTAATTATCAGATCTCTGAGAAACTGCAGACTAAACTCTCTGAATACTAAACTACATCTCCCCTTAATATATTTGCTGTAGACTAGAGTTTGATATTGGGAGCCCACCTTTATTTTTAAAAAAAGCTTATATTATTAAAGGGATCTATTCTATAGAAACTATTGTGAATCTGAATCCATACTAGTGCCTTAACAAGGATCCAAGATGGTCTATATTCTACATAATTACTGCTTTCCTTTATTCTTCTAATGAATGTATTTTGTCTTTGGGTATAGAACATTTTTTCTAATTTTTTAATTTAACATTAACAAACTTCTTCAGAATAGCTATATCTGAGGGATTATAGACTCTGTGGAACTGAATCTAACCACTAACCAGGTCTGGGGACTTAGCTTATTGGTAGAGTGCTTGCCTAGCATGCATGTTTCCCACCACCACCACCACAAAAAAAAAAAAAAAAAAAAAAAAAAGAGGCAGCAGAACTGTATCTATCTGCATAGTGCGTTAATTAGCTTCCTGAATTAGATTCTTGGTAGGTGAACCATAGTTGATAAAACACTTAAGGTTTGGTAAGTTTCAGGCAGCACGAGTGGTTTCATAACCCATGTCAGTGGACATTTGCCAAATGGAATACTCAGTCTTTACTATAAAAATTACCTGGAACTTTCTAGAGCAGAAGGGTAAAAAGAACTCCTTACATCATGTTAAGCATCCTGTTAAATTACCTACTCATTTAATATTAGTGATCACCTGCTTAACTAAGGAGAATTAATAGGTAGAAGCAGGAGCTGATGTGTCCAGAGGTAGAGACAGGGCACAGAGTTTCTACATCATAGTGGCTTTACCCGGTTGCAGGGCTAAAACAGTAGAGGCAGACTGTGGGGCAGGAAAGGCCACTCGTACATTCAAACCACTTACCTTACGCTGTGTAGTAGGAATCCTTTTGCCTGCCTGTTTTAGATACTTTAAAAGGTTTAAAATTCTTAGCTGACTTTCAAATAAATAAAACAAACCAAGCTAGAAAGGACTATTCGTAAGTGAATATGGCTGCACTTTAGCCCTGCTTCACCGTCTTTAAATGTAAGCACTTCCCTCCCGTCCAGTGGAATATTGTCTCAAAATAAAAATCACAAGTTACTTGGAACCACATGCTATTATTGCATCCTATTTTAGGTTGCTTTCATTATTTTATTTTTTTATACAGATACATAAACAGCTAGAATCAAAGCAAAAATGTTAATGGGCAGGTGCTACAGAACTAAAGTGAAATGAAAAACAACAGCTATAAACTTTCAAGGCCAACAGGTAAGACTTAAGGGTAACACTTGCTGAGGATGAAAAAGTAGGGACACAGACTTTGGAGAGGTATATGCAAGTCTAATGCCAGCTTTACAATAATAAGAGAAGTGCCTTAGTATACATTGACTAGCACATACAATGCTTAATTTGGAAAGAAAAACGAATAAAATTCCTTGGGCCAGCAGCAGATACAGTGTGTCCATTGCCGGCAACAGACACAACACTGGGACAGAAAAACCCAAATCCCAGCACAATAGTACTCACAGAAGTCATGGGTGAAGGTTTCAGAATGTGACAGGAAAGGATTAACCACAAGTGCTATACTCTATACAACGTTATGGCTCTGCTTGAAATTTTACAGCTGTAACAGAAACTAAAAGTTCATATTTTAGTGTCCATCATGTTAAATATTTAGTTACAAACCACCTTTTCTTGAAAGGGCTTACCTTTCTTTAAAGTGTTGAGATGTTTAAAATGGATGTCATGCTTAATTAAGTATACTGGTGGTTCTCATTCAACTCTATGTTGCTTGTGTGATTATTAATGAATTTTAATAGAAGACTAATGACCTAAGGCCAAAACTACATTCGGACCCTGCTAATATATCCAGGCAGATAGGAAATTCAACACACATACACACACGCAGGCACGCATACACATACACACATGCTAAAACTCAAACTAAAAACCTCCCAAAGGAACTGCTTTGTTTGTAGACTTCAATTTGAAGTAGATACTAAGGGCAAGAATAGACCAGTTAAAATTCACCTGAAAATCCCTTCCCAGTCTTCAAATGTGCTAAAATACCACTGACAGCTTAGCATCTCTTCATGTATGTTACATATAGATATAATTCTTGAAAGTGAATTTCAGATATTTAAAAACAAGTGGCCAGAAGACAAGAGTTATACTATTGGCAATGTTGATAGTCCATGTAGGTATTAAGAAAGACCACATTTATTTCACTAATTCCTCATCAGACATAGTATATAAAGGCCACATTTTACCACTTCATAAAGCTATTTTTAAAAACTTCGTTGCTAGCACAATCTGGTTGTCAAAGCTTCATTATTGATTTTACTGTTCAAATGCTTTTCATATGATTTTGTGAACAAGAAACTCCACTATAACAGAAACCTAGGTTGAAGTTTTTTTATGATGGTAGGTTCACGGTCTCTTCCTTTTATTTAAAGTGTGGTAACTCCAATAGTAAAACAAGTTGATTTCACCAAGGCTATTACTAAGTGACTTATGTAGGATGTTATCTACAATTCTCAAGGAGGCAACAGTTCAGACTTGAGCTTTTAAATGGTCTGTTAATCATCATCTATGCCATGACTGTTTAAATATAATATATATTTAATATGAAAAGCTACAGCACAAGTGCTTTCTCCCACCCCTAAATTCTGTTTTTGGCCCTCACATATATGGAATGCATTCTTATCCACCCTTTTCACAAAGTCAGGAGAGCTCAGGAAATATAAAGTCAAAAATATACAAATCTTTGTTGTTATTATAATAAGATTTTTTTCCATGAATGAAATTACTAAGGACCATGAACTTGGAAAAAGAAAATCAAAAGGAATTTACAATTATTTATCTTCAAAGTTCAAAACTGGTCACTTCACAGAAAGACTTCAGGGCTTGTTGAATTTTTTCTTCTAAAAAGTCATTCTGCAGTGGAGTTTTCTAGGAAAAATTAAACAGCTTTTAATAACTGGCCCGCTGGTGTGAGAGCTACCGTGGAATAAATTAGCACAAAAATGGAAAAAAAAAGTCTTATAACTGTTCACTGTTACAGACATAATCAACAAGGTCAGTTACTCTCAAAAGCTCATCTTCTTCCTCTTCTGGTGCCCCTGCCTCCTGCCCACTTGTCCCATTGGAGGCAAGGCTTGCACTGGCTGTGCTGTTGTCCTTAGGGGTCTGAGGCTTCTCAGGTGGCTTGCCAATCAAGTTCTCAATGGCTTTGCCAGGGCTCTGTCCGTTAGTAGAAGGTAAATCCACTAAGCTGTAGTCCAAAGGGCTCCCCACTTTGCCAACATTTTCAAAGTCCTCTTCCTCATCACTTTCTATCCGATAGGGCTTCTTGGTGCTCTCTTGCTCAGAGGGCAAGACCCTGGGCTGGCTGTCATGGGTATGCTGATCTGCATCTCCATGAGTATTGTCACAGCTCTCCTCGTCTGTTTCAATTCGGTGCAGCCGTTTTCGGGATGGTTTGCCTTCTTCTTCCTCCTCGTCTGCTTCTGAATATTCATCTGAGCTTCGGCCTCGCTTTCGAACTGACCGCTTCGATTCTTTAGCTAGCTCATCATCTTCAGAGTTCTTCGATGCGTAGCTCTCTAGAATAAACAGCACATTTAAGCTACTGGCACAGTTAACCACAAATAGATTTAAAGACTCCTTTCTTACCTCTTTTCATTGCATGTCCTGCTTTTATCTTATGTCTCTCATATTTAAATATTTCCCTTTAATAACTGGACTGATTCCTCTCAGTAACATAATAATAGCTAATTTGATTTATAGTGTACTTTACCTGTGCTTTTTGGAACAAGCAGATTTTCTGGGGAAGAAATCTGATGACCCCTGAATTAAATGAAGATAAGGTGATCACACAAACTAGGAAACTACTATCAGGGCAATATAAACTAGGCTTACAATCACGGAATCACATAAACATACTTATAAGGAAAGATTTGTACTGGGCACACGACTCTGCACATCTAAAACACCGTGGAACTCATGTTATTGAATGCCCGTGGAACTCTTGTGAATATCTTCTCTCCTTTATCTATACTTAGATCATAAGTGATCCCACCTGGTCTCATGCCTTTGCAAACCCATTTATTACTAATGACTCTTACTTATTTTAGGCAATCACTAAATTCTAGACTCCATATAAAACTTCCTCCTCAACATCTATATTTAAATAGAGTAACAGGCATCTCAAACCTAATGTGAGTAAAACTGAGCTCCAAAACTTCTCCCTTAAGCCTGAGGTATTATGGTCTCCACCATCTTAGTTTTGGACTATTCTATTATTACAAGTATTCATTAAATTATGATTTCTTTCTCTTCTAACCCATACATAAATCCTTTTGGACTGCCTTTAAAATACCTATAATTTGTCAACTTTTCACCCCTCTACTGCTACTGCCTAAGTCTTGCTCAGTATCATCTCTCACCTGGACCAGTTCAGTTCCTAACTGGTCTCTAAGCTTCAGCCCCCTTCAATTTATTCATAAAACAAGTTTCACAACAAATTAAAACCTAACTTGGATTATTTCACTCATTTGTTCATGATCCTCTAATTAGTGCACCTCTCACTCAGAATAAAATCCAGCCTATGCAGTGTTTTACTCTGCGCTATCCAGTACGATAGACACTAGTCACATAATTATCTTAAATTTAAAGCAAACAAATACTCAGTTCATAGTCACACTAGCCATACTTCAAATGATCAATAGCCACATGAGACTAATGCTTATGTATTGATCAGCATAGATACAGAATGTTCCCATCATTGCAAAAATTCAATTAGACTGTGCTGCTCTTCATCAGAAGTTACAAATTTCTTTTTTCTGTAAAAAGTAGGCTCTATGATCTGTGACAGATTTTCTCCACTTAAGATGGTCATGGCCATCTTTCAAAAAAATTTGATTTGTAAAAGGTTTGTGCAAACAAGAGGGCTGTAGTTTGCTGACTTGTTCTCTACTGTTGGGCACCAAGTGATCTCTGCTGCTGCTTCCCCTCATTTAGCTCTAACAACCTTGGATCCTCTTCTGTTCCCTAAAAGTGCCAGCCACAAAATTGCCTCAAGACCTTCACATTTATTTTATCTGTCATTATCACTTGGGGGAATGAACTAAGGCCTTCACACTAAACTGCATCCTTAGCCCTTTTAAAAAATTTTTCCGACAGAGTATTTCTCAGTAGGTCACTAACCTGCCCAAGTGAGACTCAAACTCTCAATTCTGCCTCAGCCTTCCAGAGTGCTGGGATTATATCTGTATACGAGTATGCCCAGCCAGTATTACTCAATTACTCTCTTCTTCCCCTACTAAAAAGTAAGTTACATGAAGCTTAGTTTTGTCCTCTATTAAATTCTTAGTGCTATTAAGGCCTGCTTCAATAAAGACTGTATTGGGAGGGAGGGCCCCCAGCGCACGGGGAGCCTCGAGCGGGGAGCGCCGGTCTTTGGACCGGCGGCTCACTCCCGGCCTCATAGTTCCCCGGAAGGAGGGCTTCCGGCGCACAGGGAGCCTCGGGCAGGGAGCGCTGGTCTTCCGGCTGGCTAGCTTCCTGCCTCACAGGCTCCCAGAGGGAGG